ACAAACAAACCGCCAGATAAAAACGGACATACAGACGAACACGATACAACAATATACCCCGAATCTTCGATTACGGGGACATAAGGAGAAATGGTCTTCTATTAACTTTTCGTATTAATATACATTATAAAAAAGACGTTACAACAATGAAAATGTTTTGTTATGATTTTCATATTAAATTCTCTGAAAAATATACTTTTTCAGAACTGAGTAAAAGGGTGGAGTAAAACAAGAATAAAGGCAGAACCTATGTCGGAAAAGTCTTTGTCACAAGATTTTCAAACTTTTCAAAATGATAAATTAGTACTTGCTCATCAATCAGTTAAGATATCATGATATGTTTCCTTGTTTTTTAATCTAGAACAGGCTGTGAAATGTTGGTATTTAATATTTACATACTACAACTTCACATTTTCAAATATTTTTAATCCCTGCATAAAGGGAATATGAAAAAATCACAAAAATACTTCTTCAAACAGTGGCCGTTCCATAAACTTTTTTAACTGAATAATATTTAACAATATTTTATCAAGAATAATTTCTATTTTATTCAATTAACATAAAAGATAAGTCCACCATTAATAAAAATAAACAATGAAATTATTTTTAGTCAATTATTCACCCTATATTTGTAAATATTTTTAGACGTCTTCGTCACAATGTTTTCAATCTTCAATATGATGAAGAACATAGCCAAATGATTACAAAAAATGATTAAAATATATACCTTTCCACTCTAACTAATGAAAGATAGGCTATTTACCGATACTCATATTCTTGACCTTTTTGCACTTACACGGGATTTAATAATTAAATGACTGTTTGGGGTTACTTTCAGATTAAATATTTATCAGAAATTGTACTTTTTCTTTAAAAAGATCATATTTATTATAAAAATTGTAATCAAACACCAAAAATATGAATAGGTAACAAATAATTGTTAAAAGGAATGCACATCATTTCATTATAGATATCACACAAAAAAAATGTACACACGATCAAATGATCTACAACACGTACATCTTTGAATTAGACACATTTCATCAAGATATTACACTATATAGCTGGCAACTAAAGATTTCTTACGATTTATGCATTCCTTCAAAATGGTTACATACCATTCAAATTATTACAAAAGTTGTATGTACATTGTAATTTCATTAATTAGATAGTCTTGGGTTTGTCAACTTCAGGTCTAGATCTAGTAAATAAAAACAGCCTACATATTTTCTCTTATTCCAGAAATATATTGCCATTAAGCATTATAAATTAAAAAAGTATATGTTGAATCAAGATTATGTTGGCATGATTGCATTCTGTGAATTTCAAACTGCAGTATTTTTACCATTTTTATTGAAGCTGTCAAGTACGGGAAAAAGTGGCATTTAATTAATTTTGACGTCTTAATAGGTTAGCACAGGTTTAACACATAGACAAGTTATGATGTAGTTGGAAGAAAATACGTAACTGAAAAGAAATGTAATGAATACTGTGTGCTAAATGGAAAAGTTTATGTCTACAGATAGTTTTTGCATTAGAATGATATTATTTTACGAGGGCTGTTCTATAAATAATGTCCTGAACTATATGACATACATTATAGATATCATATGACATTAAACTTGACTTTCTCTCATTATTGAATCTTTCATTGAATTTAAAACAGTTTATGTGACCATTTTTTATATTCACAGTTTCATCGTGCGAAGCTGGGAAACAAGGGTTTTTCGAGACACTGCATTATAATTGAATGGTAAAGAATCAGTAAACTAGAGTGAAAATAAAAGCTTCATTAAAGCTGTCGTAAAACTTGTTAAAAATCCCAAAGAAATATTCACTGAAACATGTGACATTTACAGCAACAAGTGCCTGTTTTATAGACAAAAGAGCAGGTGGATTTCAATGATAAAAAATTATATAATGGGCATCAAAAATGTGTACGGTCCTTGCCACCAAAAATTATAACAACTTATGTACTGTTCGACAAATTTCAACAAAGAATATTTAATGATGTATGATTGACTTTAAGATACATAGCAAATTTGATAGACATCACATCGGGGGTAGTTAACACTGAATTTCAGAAACGTTTGACGGTAAAAAAGCTTTATACTCAAAGGTCACCCCATATTTTGAAAAAAGTGTGAAAACGACACCGTGTACAAAATTGTCATAATAATTATTTTAAGATATCAGTAATTGTAGTTATCCACGTTAGTTTTATTTTCAAACAGATATTGGAACATGAATCTATTGCTTAAAACCCTAAAAGCAAAATTTGCTATAAGAAGTACTTGATAAAAGCGGCGAATGTCTGACAAGTGCACAGGTATGCAAGAAGCACGAACAAGATTTTTTCAAACATTAGTGGTACTGTTGCTGCAAAATCGTATTCGGAGACACAGTTTAATTTCTGAAGAAGTCTAGAAAGCACTTTTTTGGTCAAAAAATCAAAAGGTTTATTAGAGGAAATTGCAGAATCAGGAATCCACTACATTAAATTTCTTCAAGACAGCGTCCAAACACGCATGCCCTGAAGAGTTAAGGGGTGTTTGGGATAGACAGAAAGTTAATGTTTTTTAGCATAGACGATCTCGCCAGATCTGTGACCTTTTGACTCGTTTCTATTTCCAAACTTAGAAAAAACACCTTTCAGAAGGAAGAAACAAGTCCGGGAAATCACTGGATCTGCCATTTTCCAGTATACTAAGGGTCATTCCCAAAGAGAATTGTGCAAAAATGACCAGAAATTGGATAAAAATGTTTACGTACGTGTATTTTACTTAAAAGATATTAATTAGTAAATTCATGAAGACTTAATCATTGAAAAGCGTCTTTGCTTCTCTCTGAGCACAGAGGACATTATTTATTGAACAGCCCTCGTAAAGCCTATAGCTATACAGAGCATATTTTTAGGTCTTATACTTACCCCACCCCCTTTTCTTATTTAGGAGGAAGTCGATATTGAACAAAAGCCAAAAAAAAACCACCCTACTTTTATTTTTCTATTAGAAGGAATTAAAAATAAGCTAAAAATAATTAATTTTTCTACTAATTTTTAACTGTTACTTTGCCACAATACTTTCAAGTATACATGTACCTCCACCAACATTTAAAGTATGCTTTGATCATGGCGAAGAAAATTATGATATGATAGTACTTGTGTAAAGGCTTAACTTTATTTCAATATTTTATCTAGAGCCTCTTTTCAGAATTATTGAAAAGTATAGAGTTTTATTTATATTTTTGCTTTTCATTTATTATTTTTTTTTTTTGTTTTGATTTAACGTAATGTTTTTTTTGGGGGGGGGGGATCTCTTCCTCTTTCATTGTCAAATAGGATTTGCCAAACTTAAACAAACTAAAAGTTGAAATGACGGAAAATTTAATTTTTCCTATTAAAGAGTATTTAAACCTGATTTTTGCAGGGTTTGATTTCTAAAAACAAGTGAAATATCATTCTTTAAGCAAATATTATAAGGAGGAATATTAAAAAGAAATTCTATTTACTTAACAATTAAAGAATCTCTTTTCGAACACAATTTTAGCATTGAAAGACTACGTGAATCTTTTAATTATTTCGTACGACTATTTGTATTTTTCTGGTTACAGAAAATGTAAAAATTAGTTTCGCTGTAAAAAAAAATATCAAAGAGTGTATATTTTGTATCACTTTAAAGGGGGTGATTTTTTCAATGGGGGTCATTATTTTATAGGACTAACATCTTGAATTGATCGACCCTAAACTCTGTTTTCTACGAAAAATGATTTTTTTTCTACGGGTGGGGTCATTTTTTATCGTGAAAAATGACCCAGTCATTGTTGGATGGGGGTCAATATTCGTCTTTACACCGGCATAATCAAGCGAAGATCTCGATCCAATGTGTTAATCCATTTGAAATATTATTTTCATTGAAGGCAATTAACTGTTCATGACATTGTAAAGTCATATAAACAAGGCGGGTTTAAGTCCTTACTCAGCTCCAGGGAATCTCATAAAAAAGTGTATTAGGTAGAAGAGCGGACATTTAAAAAAACAATTACGTTATCGGACGTCATGAGAAGAAACGACGACAGCGCCGGTGATCATATAATGTCGTTTTCATTTTATAACTTTTTGGCAAATAATGAACATTCAGTTCGGCTAAAATTTTCAACATTTCTTTATTTTTTGTTGTTTTATGTTCTTTATAAATTTTGATCGCACAGATTACATAGTACTAATTTTATAGTCTCAGTCCACGAACTTTTTGATAACCCCTCGTAAATCAATCTGTTGTATTTAAAAATTTTCCCAAATTAGATAACTCTTTTACATTTTGACTACTCAATTTAACTTACAACTTTAAACACTTGGTTTGACATAATAATATATACTTCTTAATGTACATACTTCTCAGATTTTCATAAAATGGACATGCATTTTAGTTACAGTTTTATTTATTTTATATTTCCTTAAATTTTCATGAAGATTTTAAATATTCAAATCCTATTTGCACCGAGTCTCGAATATGCTGCTGTACGTTACTTTGAAGATTCTCTTTTAATACTGAGGCCCGTAGTTACACGGGGAGAGGGAATTTTTAAATTAGGGGATTTTCTTGACACTTTATTTTTAGACAGTTGGCCTTTGCTCGATTCTTTTTTTTCAAATTTATTTATCAATTTTATTTATTTATTTATTTATTTATTTATTTATTTATTTATTTATTTACGTAAATAAATTTCTTCAAAATGTTTGGATTTAATATTTAATATTAAATCTATTTCTGTTCTATTTTCTGTTCATTTTCATATTTTATATAATTTTGTCTTTTATTTATTGATTGCTTTATGATATTGGCCTGCTAGCTTTGATAGATTAGTCATAAGAAACCATGCAAATACGTAAGTTGTATATGTAAAGCTTAACCCGGCTCTCACTTGTCACTCGTTTTATAATACTCTAGATTGATCACGGCCCACTTGGTTCTAGAAATACCCTAATTTTGTACCGGAAGTGTAAAAGATAACCTTTCGCGTTCGCTTGAATTCGGGAAAATCCCTGTGGTTCTGATGAAGAATAGATCAGGGACCGGGGTCTAAATTGAAGCTTTACAGGATAAAAGTGTTTATTATTTGGAGGTATCTGTAAAGAGGTAAGGACATAATTATATAACACCTACAAACGTCACCGCCTCGCCGGGGTTCATTCCAAAATATCTTCTCTTTGTTTATCCAGTCTATAAAGTAATTAAAATGCAGAAATTCCGGAATGTTTTTTATTTTTATTTTATAATGAGATTCAGACAGTTAACTTTTCCATTTCTATATTGTATACATATCAGTTTAAATCGCATGGTTGTTCAAGTTATAAAAAATTATTTGCGATATCGAAAAAGCATTGCACAATGCATTTTCTCATCGGTGAATCCTTTTAAAATTTGACTTTAATTGAGCAACATTCTGTTTTTAACTAAACGTAACTTTCAGTTTGTTTATTGTTGTTAAAATATTCATGAAATGTAAAGTACACGGTAATATTTATTGTCTGGGGTCATGGGTCAACCCACACAGCTGTGTGATTGTCATGTGACCTTACATAACCATTCAGAAAAATTTACTGCCACCAAAATATTACAAAATAAGTTAAACATGAGGGTGTGTGATTACTTAACTGTTAAAGTAATCTAAGAGGTTATTAACTAGAATGATCTGAGTTCCTGCATGTATTACATAAATATCTTCTAAATTAAAGTTTTCCAGAATGAGGCCTCCGTAATTTTTAATTAAATGGAAGAAAATTCATCAGAGTCTTACGTAACGGGAGATAACACACAGAATCAGACAGACACAGACAGAATGACGGAGAGAGCCCGGGGGGAAAAGTTAGCCATGGATCAGATGATGTGGGATGATGAAGAAGAAGAAGATGATGAGAATGAAGATGACGGAGATGAAGACATCGATGATAATGATGAGGAAGGTTTGTGAAGAGATGATGATACATTGTAGTAATAAGAGTTTGATACTATTAAACAGTGATAGGAAATCCTCAACAAAACAAAATCACAGGTACAATGACTTGTCTTCAAAGATAATGTATTGTCATGACAGGTGTGGTATGCATATTTATAAACTGCTTCACAGTGTTTCCTGGCTCAACAAGATCAGTGTTGTTAAAAGTGATCTTAGAAATGCCAAAGTCAAAGCTACACAGACTATAGGAATAAAACTGGGGAGTAATCAGTGTTACTGTCTAGCATTGAATACTTAATGAAAATCTGTAATAGTTAATTTTAAAATAATAACATTAATTTTATTTGAATAACTAGACTTTATAATTATTCTTTTTTATAAATTATGATTCCGTTCTTTAGATGAGGAAGACTCGGCCAGCAGTGAACAGAGCGATGAGGAGGAAGACGAGATAGAAGAAGAAGAGGACAAAAGTAAGTCTCCTCTCCAAACATTGTCAATAACAAGCAGGACAACTAATCTGTTGACATTTAACTGTTAACACCCTTAAAGTAAATCACACCATCTTGTCCACAAACTTACGTTCAGTTCTAATACATGAGTGAAAATATGCAAATTTTTAATGAAGTTAATTATTGAATGAGGAAGATTGCACTTATTTTTTTCAATTTATACATGTTTACATTATTTTAGTGGTTTACATAGGTCTTTGTAACAGAGGAATCCTTTGTTGTTTCTCTCTCAGGTCCATGTTCAGCGGAGGCAGATGAAAGGTTAGAGGTCAGAAGGTCAGAGGTCAAGGAGGAAATAGAGGAAACAAAGGAAGAGGAGACAAGGACTGACCTCCCCGACCAGAAACAGACAGATGTAAAGACGGCAGAACCGGCGACCAAAAAACCGACAGACGTGACGACGGCAGAACCGGCGACCAAAAAACGCAAACGAAAGCGAGCCACCGGGGAAAAGGGCAAGAGGAAAAAATCCAAGAAAATGAAACCCTCCACATTACGGAGGAATATTAGGTGTGTAGCCATGGTAGCAGAAAAAAAAATTATTAGCATGATTAGAGTGTGGTTCTTGTTTAGATAATCTGGTCACATTATAATTCTTTATTTTGTGCCCCTTCCCTTTCCTTAACTGCAATGACTTTCTAGACCTGTACTTGTACCAAGCTGTATAATATATTGGACATATTATTTGTGTTATTAAACCTAATGCATTGTTAATAACCCTTAAAATAACACAGTCGATTGTTAATTATTGTATAAATTATCTTATCAATCATAGAACATATAATTTACCCTGTCTAAAGTTCTAAAAGGAATTGTCTTCACAGGAAGTTCAAATCACTGCACTGTTGTTATAACGTTAAAATTCAGCATTATACTTAAGTTATTTGTTTTTTTTCTTCCTGCTTTTCTAGTAACTTCTGTAAATTTATCTATTAACATGAGAAATGACAGTACTATTGGAAGAAACAGATTTCTTTTAAATTAGCATTAAGAAATATCTTACTTATATTACTATGGTAACAGGGACATCCTTAAAGAGAATGACCTTGACAAAGAGACCTTGGATGCCCAGCAGGAAGAAGCGATGCGTCGTCAGAGGATTCTAGAGGTACAGAAAGCCCTAGAGGAGCAACGAAAGAAAGAGATGGAAGAAAACGACTCCCAACTCAAGTCTCTGCTACAGAGTAAGTGTTTAGAAGGTTTAGGAAAGCAAAGAGATGGAGGAACCTTATTCAGTTGTCTGTCGGCAGTTAAACACAGAGGGCTGCTCCCAGTACTGAGGGAAATTTGTATTCTGATCTGTAGCCAGATGAGGCATATTAAGTAGAGTGTATACAGTGAACATAGATATGACTTGTAGATGTATTTCAGTGGATGATCTTATTTATCTGTGTTGTATTTCAGTGGATGATGTTATTTATCTGGTATCTGTGTTGTATTTCAGTGGATGATGTTATTTATGTGGTATCTGTGTTGTATTTCAGTGGATGATGTTATTTATCTGGTATCTGTGTTGTATTTCAGTGGATGATGTTATTTATCTTATATCTTTATGTTATATATTTCAGTGGATGATGAAGATAAGAGCAGTGATGTTATATATCTGGACAGCAGTGACGAGGGGCGATCAAGAAGGAAATCCAAAGGTATCAATTTACTTCTAGTTTTCAGTGTTGACAGATGTTTGTGTTGTATGGTATCATTAAACATCAATAAATAGAGACACATCTTTGTGATATTTCTTTTTCATAGGAGCGATATTTATGCTTGTAATAAGTGATTTATTATATAGACCCCCTCCTTCTATCCCTAATTTTCATTGACCATCCTAAAATAAAGAGACAGACAGTTATGGAATTGAAATGAGAATTGAATACTGTATACAGGGTTATTTTTGCCCTATGTTATTTTCGCACTTTCACACTTAGAAAATATTTTGCCCCGTTTTAAATTGCCTTGATAAAATTCTTTTATAGAAATCATACTGTGCTTTTTAGAGTCAGTCACCTCTGACATGCTGAGTTGGGCAAACGGGTGAAAATAAAGTGGGATGAAAATTTCCCTGTATACAGTAGATATTTTAGGTTTATTTATTTTATACAGACAGTGATGTGATAGAACTGATAGTGATACTTAACTTTTGTTTTCTGTGTGTTTTACAGACAGTGATGTAACTGATGCTTCATTATTTTATATAGACAGTGACGTGATAGAACTGACGCTTTATGTTTATTTTCTGTGTGTAATACAGTGCTTTACTTTTACTTTCTGTTTACAGACAGTGACGTGATAGAACTGATGCTCTATTTTATTTTCTGTGTGTTATACAGTGCTTTACTTTTACTTTCTGTTTACAGACAGTGATGTGATAGAACTGAGCAGCGATGAGGAGGATATTCTGATGACGAAAGACGAAGACAACGAGGTGGACCCCGAGGATCCAAACAATGCCGGCAGTCACATCAACGACGCCCTCAACGTCCACGACGACTTCGGCCGAGTGTTGGTCAACATCGGGCATCCATCCGACGAACCAGACATATTTCTGGCTCCCCAGATAGCTAGATACATCAAAAAACACCAGGTTAGATAATGTCACAGATAGCTAGATACATAAAAAACACCAGGTTAGATAATATCTAGATTAATCTGATACTGTATACATTGTACACGACTGGTTAACATGTAAAGATATATTTATTGTTCGCATATTGTCTGATTATCCAGTCATTATATCTTTCATAGGTATTCATCATTAGTTTTATATAATTTCTGGAAGAAAATCATTGGAAATGAAATAGTGTTTTTTGTTGAGATTTTTGAACACTGTTTCTACCCCTTGTATTGTAGATTGGTGGTGTTCGGTTCCTGTATGACAATCTATATTGTTGAGATTTTTAACACTGTTTTTACCCCTTTGATTATAGATTGGTGGTGTTCGGTTCCTGTATGACAATCTTATCGAGTCCCTGAGCCGGTTTCGTAACAGCCCTGGTTTCGGTTGTATTCTGGCTCACAGTATGGGTTTGGGTAAGACGATTCAGATGATCTCCTTTGTGGACGTGTTCCTGAGATGTGCCAAGGCCCGCACGGTTCTCCTGATTGTCCCGATTAACACACTACAGAACTGGATGGCCGAGTTCAACATGTGGTGTCCCTCCCAAGATATGGTGGGAGATCTAGGAACTGATCATGTGATCCCCAGACCGTTCAACGTGTACCTCCTCAACGATAACTTCAAATCCACAGGGGCCAGGGCCAAGGTCATAGGTAGGTCAAAAGGTCTTAGTAGGTCAAAAGGTTATAGGTAGGTCAGAGGTCAATGTCTGCCCTATAAACCAGTATCATGATTACTGAATGACATATAACTAAAGAGTGTGATAACTTTTAGTCCCTTACAAACAATGAACCTCTGTACATGAATGAAAATATGTTTTGATTTCTCGTGCAAAATTTAAAAAAATT